TTTTTTTTTTTTTTGCTGAGATCAATGATAAGAAAAGCGTTCATAAAGAATTCCATTGTTATTCAGATGTTGCATTACCAATATATTTTTAAATATATTTTAAAATTATATCGGAATATATAATATAATATAGGGGCTTTACGCTTATCAACAGCCCGGATAAATTGCAACGGAAGAGTGTGTGTGAGTGTGTGCGTGAGCATAAATATCAACAGCAAAAGGAACAACAAAAACTAAAATAATCGGGACCGCAAGCGATTTCAACAAAATGGTGGTTTTAGAAACTGCCAGCGCCCTACTGGGCGGGCCATACGCCCAGGGCGCACCCGCCCTGAAAATGGTGCAAAAACGCTACATTGGATTACATCAATGGCTGGGACCTATACGCAAAGAGCTAAAGGAGCATATTGTAAGTGTCCATCAGAGAGATTATGTGTGCCGTAGAGTTCTAGAGATTTGGCTAATATTCAATGATCCCTTGAGAGCAAAAATTCTAATTTATAAACGGAAACTTATTTTTAAAATATTTGAAATGGTTTTCTCTAGGAAAAACAATCCAGTCTAATTTACTTACATGTATCATTTATACGATAAATAATGATGTGAAATTTGAATATAGATTTGCTGCTCGGTTTCAATTCGCGAATAACTACTGTACCCGACATGCATACACATGTGTAGTTTGTTCTATTGCTAAAAATTATATTTGACTCAGTTGAGATTAGAAATATGAAAACAGTTTGCGATATATTTGTGCCTCAGCTGCTGGTAAGTCGAATTCCCGCTTTTAGGATTCGACAGAATTCTCGACCAATTGAAATGATTTGCTGAATAGCTCAGGAAATTTGTGTTGTGAGAAATCTTTTAATTTTATTTTAAAATCAAGACTTTCTATATAGATTATTAATACATGGAACTCAAAAAATTATATAAATATTTATACTATAACTAAATATGGATATATAGCGAATTATCAGTCCATCAGTTAACTGTTAATTTTAAAGTTTATTCTATACTCTCTACTAAAAATTGACTAGCTTTCTCTAGCTTTTGTTCTGAAATCGATTAGTGAAAATGAAGTTGATCATCTAATTTGTGTCTACAGTTTGGAGCTTTAATTTGCATTTAGTTTTTCTTTGAATACTGCAAGATTTTTCTCGATTTCCATTTCATACCAGTAATTCGTTTTGTTTTCTGCAATTGTATATTTCTAATTATTTCCGTTCATTGTTTTTGTTTTTTGCTTTGATGTAGTTTTGTCTACTTGTCACACTCTTCTTTTGGCCATATGTAGCCATGGTTGTCTCTCCTCCTCAATCCTCCCTCCTCCTCCCCCCATCGAATTTTCCACAATTTTGTTGTCCATTTCAATTTCGTTTTCAAGCATTTTCACATTGATTGCGTGCGTGTGCTTTTGTTTGTCTCTCTCGCTCTGTTGTTGTTGTTGTTGGCTTGCATTGATTGATTGGCAATTTGATTGATTATATGCCAAAATCCCTTTTATTTATCGTATGTATAGATTTATATATACCACTTTCAGATCAGGCTAAGCTATAATTGTTGTCTAGTTGCTCGAATCAAAAAAAAAAAAAATAAAATAAAATAAAATAAAAATAAAAATAAAGAAAAGAAACTACAACTCGATTTGCTCTATTCGCAACTATCCAACTAGTTGACTAGCTGGTTAGCTGTTGGCCGATTTGGCTAGAGCATTTGGCGTGGTATATTTATGAGTAGGTTCCCCCACAATCTCTGGCCGAGACTAATGAGCATCCATTACTCATCTGGCCGGGATGCAACCAGAAATACAGCAACAGAACCCAGACCTGTGGCTGAAGCTTGCCCAGCGGCTGTTCTATTAGAAGAGTTGCGTTTTTGCCAGCCAAAAAGAGGAGGGCGGTGCATGGGCGTCGGGAGCGGGGTCAAATTCAGGTAGATATAGGTTGGAGTATCTTTGGGGATGTGGCGGCGGCCTAATTAATGTGTGTGCAGTAAATTTATGACCAGAGGCTTAAGCAGCTTATGAATTATGTCTTCAAGGGGGGGGGGGGGTATTGGCCAGAGAGCTGCATGAGTGCGTATACGCGCAAGTGTATTGTAGGTGTGTGTGTGTGCGTGTGTGTGTGTGTGCAGGTGTGTACGTGCTCAGTTTCCAATTGAGTGATTTATGCGCTTGAAAAATGCATGTAAAATGCGGCTGCAACTGGCGGAGCATAAAGCAACAGCTAATAGAGGGAGATAGCAAGAGAGAATGGGGGGAAAAGAATAGGGAGGAGAGAAAGAGAGAGAGCAAGCGACTCACACAGCTCATTAAGCTGTAACCAAAGCCTTAATGGAGCCTGCAAGACAAAGTGAGAGAGAGAGAGAGAGAGAGAGGCGGGTAGCAAGTGTGTGAGTGAGTCAAGTAGAACGTTTGATATTTTTGGATTACTGTGGGCTCAACAAGGATGCGAGCAGTGCGAGGCTGGCGCCTTAAATATAGTGAATAAATGTTTACAATTTGTTAAAGCTAACTATGTATCTGTGTATGTGTGTGTGTTTGTGTTGCACAACTGTAACCAGAACTTACAGCAACTGCAAGTTACACTGAGCCAAACAACTTATATAAGAGCAGCTCATTTATTTGCCTTTTTTTTTAATATTTTCAATGCAATATGAAATGATTTGAAAAGAAATTTGAATATTCGCTTTAGAAATCGTTGAGCTTTTAGAGTTCATTCAGCCATGCTGTTTTCGCTCAGTGTAGCAACTGTTGAACGATTGCAGCTGCATTACGTATACGCTATACTGCGCCGACTGTCGCTCAGGTTACACACACACACACACACACACACACACACACACACGCACACTCAGTGGGAATTGTCAGAGCTGGTAAAATGTGACCTGACATCGATGCGACGAGATGCGGCGGCAAATGCCACTGTCAAATCGAGGTATCGCTTTTCATGTTATTGTCATGGTTGTTGCTGATATCCCTTGAATGAGTCAAGGGGCGAGATTGAAGCATGAAGAGGGAAACGAACTAAGTCTATCTAGAAATATGTGATTCAAATGAAAACAGAAATGAAAATGAAAAGTGAGCAGCAGAGTAGCAAAGAGAATTATTAAATGAAACCTGATTGAATTATATTAAATTCAAATGAGACAAATAATGCATCAATATTATGATCCAGTTTAATGTATTCTGAGAGCATATTTAAGTTATTATAAATGACAATCGTAAATATTAATAGACATAGTAGTAGTACGTTTTCTATTTTTATTTATTATTTGTATTCTCATTTATGATAAGATTAAACTCATTCGCTAAAATCTTAAATTAATGTATACAGTAATTTCTGTCTAATCACACTTTAGTATCTGAACAATCAGCAATTATGGTTTCTCCTGCATAAGCAGGAATCATATGTTTACCCCTCTCCTCCCCCCCTCAGAGACCACAGCTCCTATGACCACTTTAAAGTTGGTCCACTTTCTCAGTTGATTATTGCCTTAAACTACAAAAGTTGGAAAAATCATTTGCCATAGCTCTGGCCATTTCTAGTCTCTCTCTCTCTCTCTCTCTCTCTCTCTCTCTCTCTCTGTTTCTATTTAGTTGACCTGTTTCTTTAAAGCTGTAAACGACCACAAAATGCTGAGAGACAGCTGTCACCAGACATTGGCCCGCAAAAGCCAGCAACTTGCCAAGCGTTTCAAGTGTACATCTTTGAATGACTTGTCTAACTGACTGACTGACTGACTGACTGACTGACTGACTGACTGACTAAGTGACAAACTGACTGACTGAGTAGTGATAGACAGACGAGGACTGCATGAGCGTCTGGCTGTCCAACCAGTTGTACAACTTGCAAACTTGAAAACTTTACACAAGTTAAACACTGAAAAGCGCTTCAGGCGACTTGCAAGAGGCTTTTCAATATAATAATAAGAAATATACGCAAAAGAAACAAAAAAATGAATGAATACAAGAAAATGAGAAATCTAAGTAAAACCAGCCACGATTTATGCTTAAGATGCACTGCTGGCGCCTTCTACTCCATCTCCCTCTCTCTCTCTCTCTCTCTTCCTCTCTCTCTCTCTCTCTCCCTCTCTCTCTCTCTCTCTCCCTCTCTCTATACCATTTTCTAAATGTCGTTGAGACAATTTGTTGTTGTTGCTGTTGCTTGTGTCTCTGACTCTTTGGAGCTGTGCCCCTTAGCTTCCGCAATTTGTGTGGTCCCCGTTTTTGTTGCTCTTTTCTCTCTCTTTTTTTTCGGATTTGTTTCAGCAAAGTCCTTGATGGCGGTCCCTACCTTAAGCCGAGCTCCCATTTAAATCTTTGCACAAATCGTCTCATGGGCGCCTTAAGGCCTCTCTTGAGTTACCCTTGCCTGCGCCCACTCGGCTTCTTGTTTCTGCTCCACTGACGCAACTCGAGTGTCTCCACTTGGGCTCCGCTTGCTGGGGCGAGTTTATGCTTTATGCAACTGCAACTGCAACAGCAACAGCAACTGCAATTGCTGCTTGTATAGGGTGTCCACTGTTCCTCCTCCTCCACTTTGGTTATGGCCTTTTGATTTAGCCAACTCTTGACTCCCACTTTTTGCCATGCATCGCTGCAAGCGCATCGCTTGCTTCTTCCACTTCTTTTTCTTCTTTTATTGTTTTTACCCAGATATGTTGCCTTTGCAGAGGCCTAAGCCCGAGTCTGTTTACCGGCAATTAAGCCACGCAACTTTCTATGAAATTAGCGCAACCCATGCTCATGAGTTCAAATGCAATCGAGGCCAATGACAAACTGAGCGCTGCTTTATAAGAGCTGCTTTCTGTTGGCCTTTGTCGACAATGTCTTAGCCTTGGCCAGGGAGAGAGAGGGAGGAGTATCATAATGCTAACATTTTGTCTACTTTTTCTGCTTAAAGCTTCTTCTTAACGTTTCACCTTTCATACTCGCTGACCTGTTTACCGCTAATTCTTTTTATTGCGTCATTCTTTATTATTCTAAGAATTATTATTCGAATATTTAAGTCTATATTTAATTAGTTTGTAAATCTACTACATAGACTACTTCATATTTAATTCCTATTTCATTGTTTATCGCTTTCAAAGCCAAATTTCATTAGACTAAAGTGTAGTCAGCAGTAGTCGAGCAGGTGCTTTCTGAGTTTGTATCTTTATCGCCAAATGTATCTACATATACGAGTACGGCTCTAGCCATGTATCTGATATGCACTTCACAACTTTGGCTTTGCTGCGCTGTCGGGTTTTCCACTTATGTTGCAGTATTTTTTTTTTCTTCTTCTTTCTCTCATTTGTTCTTTCTTTTGCTGATTTCTTTCGGATTCTTTCCCCCTATGCACTCGCATGCGTGTGGTTTTTTTTTCTTTCTCGCGCTGCTGTGAGTTTTTCCTACGTTTTCATAAATTA